CAAGGGCGGAACCCTAACAAATTTTATTAATAAAGAAATCATACAAGGGGGACAATTCAGCCTTACCCATAACAAAACTAGGGGGACAAGGAAGCCTAAACCCCCAAGAAACAAAGCTCATGTTACAATAAGAAAAGGAGACTACATCAACTCCTATAATTATAGAAACCAAGTCTATTATGTCTAAGAGACAACCTAACCTCATAAGGTAAATCGAAAAAAGTTAAATAACCCTTTTTACCTATAAGAGAATGTGTGTCGTAAGCTAACCTATTTGCCACGATATTTTATTCTCGGTACTCATGAGAGTGAGAATGTCCCGGAACTAAAGAAGAGCAATGTCTCATGTGATAAATATAGTGCCAAGAAAATGATGAAAACCCTAAGATAACTTAAACCACTTGCTTTGAATCAGCCTCCACAAATACATTATTAAGAGAAAGTTCTTGATAGAGAAGAAGAGATCGTCACATAAAGCTTCACATAAAGCTAGAAGTTCTACTCTTATATTAGTACCTATACCATAACTATTTGCGAAAGTTGCCATGATTTGCCCTCCTAAGTTACAAATAACACCTTTGTTAGTGCAACAACCATCTATAGAAGAGCCAAATGTATTCAATTTATAACGATTGTCCAAGGGTGGCAGTGAACAAACCCATTTACATTTGTCAAAAGGCACTAATAAAATTGGCAAACCTAAAGCCCGGAGTCTCTATAAAGAAGAAACACTAGACAAAGATTTAGGTTTAAAAATAGTACATATATCGAAAGATGACGAAGTACACAGGCTAAGATGGCATCTACGGACATTGGAATCTCATTGAATCTTTTTTACACCTATGTTTCCATATTTCCCAAAGAGAAAAAAAGAGGGTAGCTACTTGAAACATGCCTACTTGTGTCGAGGTGGAGGCCATCCGGACGTGAACTAATTCGAAGAAGAAGAATATGTTATCCTTGGACCAAAACAAGGTGCTAGTCTAGCCCAAACTATAGAACTAACTTCGAATGCGAGAAAAAGATGATCAAACGACTCCTCTCTATGGACACACGAGCAACTACAAAAGGAGACCATAAGTATGGTCAATTCCTTTATCCTAGAGTTAAGCTGGAAAAGCGCCATGAAAATATTTTTGGATGAAACCTCTTACTTTTGGAGGAATGTAGGAATGCCAAACTAATTTAGCCCACCAAACCCATGATCGATGTTGTCTAAAATGGTTTCAATATGTTCCGGATTCAAAATAACCTACCTTAGATAAGTTGAAACCATCTTATCCTTTAAACCTTTGTCTATTTGTATAAGCTTAGTAGAATCATGAAAGGGAGAAACTCATCTAGACAGGTTCAAAGCCTCATTGATTGACAAATTGTACTCCAAAGGTAATGGAGCATTCACAACGGTTCCACATCAATTAGATCTCAAAAATAAAATAACACCCTTACCCATAATCCAAGAAGTACAATCTTCCAATAATATAATGTGATTAAAAATAGTCTTCCAAATGCAAGAAGAGTATGACCAATACTGGGGAGTAGGTCCATATTTAGCTTTCGTGAGCTTAGCCCATAAATTATCTTGAAGAAAAGACCAAGCCGGTTAGCTTCGTAAAGCATCCATAACCTAAAGAAGGCTACGAATACCCATACCACCCTCCGACATCGGTCGACAAACCCTATTCCAAGATACCTAGTGCTTGTTTAGACTCTCCTATCAAGCTCCATAAAAAATTAGCCATTATCCGTTCAAGTCTATATATTGTCATTTTTTGCGGAGGAATAATAGAGATAGTATGTATTGGGATACTACTTAGTACTTGCTCTTAAAATTGTAGTCCTAGCTCCAAAAGATAGGTTGATTTCCACCCTCCTATCTTATTTGTCAAGGATTTCTCTAAATACTAAAAATATTGACATTTTATACGACCATGAAACAATGGCACCCCAAGGTATTTAATAGGGAAGCTCGAATGGTTACATCTAGTCCATTCCTTGAGTAAAGCTATTCGATGACTAGGCATTTTCTTTAGTGTATAAAACTCACTCTTAGAAATATTCAATAGTTGACCCGAAGCTTTTTCATACTCTACAATCAATTGTCTAAGGCGAACGATCAAATATTTAGAACCATTAGTGAAAAGCAACATATCATCTGCATAAAACAAATGAGTAATGGCTATGTCTCCATGACCCCCTATCATGTAAGGAATGATACGTCCCTCCACGACCACATGGTCTAATGAATATGAGAGGACTTACCGAACCCGAGTAAAAAGTAAAGGATATAGAGGATCTCCTTGCTTGACGCTTCTATTGGATTTGAAAAAGCCATAATTCCTCCATTGGACCCTAATGGTATACCAAACATTACTAATACATCGATATACCGGATCACATCATTGATTACAAAAACCCATTTCCCTCACGGTTTTTAGTAAGAAAGACCAATCTACTCTATCATAAGCTTTAGACATATCTAACTTGAAGATATGTTATTCCCATACACTTTTTTTTGTTTAAGTCTATCATTAATTCTTGAGCAATTGCAATATTTCGGATGATGCTTCTACCTTTAACAAAACCGACTTGCTCTAATGAAATGATGTCTAGGAGAACTTTACCTAGTCTATTAGTCACATTTTTTGAGATAATTTTGCACCCAAATGATTATTATCACCCAAGATTTCACTTTCTATTGCTTTTTCCTCATTTTTTAGTTTTTGTAAAAAACAAATTGAAAAAAAAAAACAAAAGCAAAAAATGGAAATGAAAATGAAGAGAAAAAATGATGAAAAATTAAAAAAAAAATCAATTGGAGTAATTAATTAGGTTAATAATAAAAAGAAAAAAGAAGAAGAAAAAAGAAAAGGGGGTTAATTGAGAAAAATAATGAGTTAAAAATAATTAAAATGACAATCGAGGGCATAATTGAAAAAAAAATCAAAGTTTCAAGTCCTTTAATTAAAATAAAGAGGGATACAATTGAGACAAATTAAAAAAAAAGTCTCAATTATTTCTAATGGGAGGCTCAAATTAAAACAAAAAGTGCAAAATCGACCTCAAATCAATACATGGTAAGAAACCAAGGACTAAAATGACATTTGGCTGAAAACACACATATAAAACCACCACATGTATTGTTTTATACTTAACTATAGAGGTGAGCAAACGGTTTGGTTAACCGAAAATCGAATACAATTGGACCGAATTATGAAATTTGGTTCGGTTTTGAATTTTAAAATTTACCATTTATAACCGAATCGAAAAACCAAAATTTATTTCAATTCGATTTAGTTTTTGAAAAAAAAATTGATTCAAACCAAAAACCAAAATTTATTCCTAATCTAATTCTAATTTCCAAATACCAAATCGGCAAATCCCATCGGTGCCTAAGTGATCGGGTCTCTCACTCTCTCATTCCTCAATCCAAATACCAAATCCCATTAGCGTACGCGTCTCTCATTCTCTTAGTCTTCACTCCTCAAATCAGATCTCACTCTCTGTCTCTCTCGACTCGGTCCGAGATCTTACTATCTCGGTCTCACTCTCATCTCTCACTCTCTCGACTCTCATATCTCGGTCTCTCTCACTCTCTCAACTTTCATCTCTATGAAGTTGCTATTCTTATCTTCCATGTGTGCAAGCGAGGTACTCTTTACGATTGAAGATTCTATTAAAACTTGTTATTGCCAATTTGGTTTCTTGAATTTGGAAAAAAGTTATCTTGTTCGGTTCTTCCAAAACATAATAATATAGTTGATCTTATGCTTCATTGTGGACTTGAATTTTGGAAAGATCATTTTATCTCATATGATAACATGCAAATCTGGTTTGAGATCATCTATGGTTTTGATTTTTAATGAATCTAGGCGTACCTTCTAAGAGGTATCCATTAAGACATAGGCGACGGAAATGCGAAACTCTGTAACTTCAATGCATAAATACAAAGGATGTGAGGTTGGTCTGTAATTTGATTTTCCTTTGAATATTAGGCAAAATATTTTAATTCTTGAGAATACAATGTAAACATTTGGTTATTGCGGGGTGACAATAGGTACTTGGAATGTTGCTAGAAGACATCCATATGAGGATCTTGATATTGATGATTGGCTTTGTATAGAAGAACCAGCATATATTATGTCATTGGGTAACTATTTCATCACTTTGTTTTCTCATCTTGATGACTAGACTTATTGTAAACATTTATATATGCCTATATCCAATGCATTTTCTATATCGGGAAAACTTTATATGTTCTTTCTCTACCTCTTCATTTATGTATGTGCCCAACTTGTTTGTGGATTGTGATCGTTTTGCTTCCATGTTCTCTCGATCTATTTGATTGCGATGTTTAGAAAATCTTAGGATCTATCTATTAAGGAATCCCTTCGAATATTTTCCTTGTAGAAAATCGGGTTATAAGCGATAACTATCGAGCTTGAATTTATTTCTTGTTATGTTATCGTGGCCTAACCCTAGAAGGATTTGGAATCAATTTGTCATTTATGCACCAAAGACTAAGGAGCTGATTTGGAATCTCCGGTAGGCCTACTCGCTAGTAGGTAGTCTTCGCGATAGGTAGGAAGTAGGCCTACTCGCCTCGGTGCCTCTTTCCTAGCTAGATTATTAACTAGGAATAAACAACTAGGAAAATGAAAAATTTTCACTCTTTTTGGCTTAAGCTTAATACTCATCTTAGGCAAAGAAAAAATAAATGGAAGTTTTAGGAGAACTATCCGAAGTACGAACTGGAGAAGTAATGAAAAAGTTTGGTTAAACCGAATTATTTTAAAACCGAATCGAAATAATTTGGTTACAAACCAAATTAAAAAATTAATTTTGATTCGGTTTCGGCTTTTATTTTTCCTACTTCGATTAACCGAAAACCAAACCGAATTATGCTTAACCAAACCATTTAACCTAATGATCACCCCTACCTAACCATTGTTCATCTCTTTCATTTTAAGAAACCACTTCTAGCAACTCTACCCACTATACTAAGCTCCCAAAAACCCATAGCTCACCAGACAACTAGCCCGAGCCCCACACCACACACACACTAGCCCACAACCAAATCCAGCCCTCTCCTTGCCCAAACACCAACCAATACCCCCACACACAAGCACCGGCTTGCAAGCTACATCCTCCATGCCAGCCCACAAACACTCGCCTCCGGCCCTCTCCCCACGAGCCAACTCCTCACACTCGCAAGCTCGTAGCTTTTCCCTTCCTCCCTCGTCTCACTCCAGCAATAGCCACCATAAGCACTCATGCACTAAGGTCCCGCACACCAACCTCCCATGCCATAAACTAGCTCACACACACCCCACGAGCCCCTCTCTCATCCATTCGGCCCGAGCTCATAGCCTTTCTAGCATATCTCTCACCCACTTCACCGACCATCTTGCCTCACGTCGGCAGCACCTTCCTTGCCCATGCCATAAGCATTCCACCGACCAACTCCCTCACTCTAACCACCACATTAGCTTGCCTCGCTAAGTACAACCATCTATAGACAGCCCCAACAACCCCACACCAAGCTCTCTCTAACTCCTTCTCCTCACGAACATCCACGACTCTAACCAACACGAGTAGCTCGCCTCGCTAAGCACAACCATCTATAGACGACCCCAACAACCCAACACTAAGCTCTCTCTAAATCCTTCTCCTCATAAATATCCCTCACTCTAACCAACACGGTAGCTTGCCTCGCTAAGCACAACCATTTATAGACTGACCCCAACAACCCCACACCAAGCTCTCTCTAACTCCCTCTCCTCACGGACACCCACATACTATCCCCATCACTAAAGCTACTACTAGCCCTCTTCCTTTGACAAGACATTCTAGCCCACCATGCCGAGCTCTTCTCTCACACCTGCTAGCCTCTATAGCTAGCCCTCAACACATCGAGCTCCTCCCTCGTAGTTGTCATCCTCCATAACCAGCCCCGAGCATGTCGGGCTCTCTTTTGCCGGCCTCCACGGCTAACCCCCGACTTGCTAAGGCCTCTCCCTCACACTCGCTAGCTCTAGAAGCACACCCCACGGCCTAGTAGCCTTCTCTCTCTTGCCCCCAAGCTATACCCAAAACTAGCCCTCACACCAATAAAGCCCCTCTCACAAGCGACCTAAACTCCAACCCCTAAACTTAGCAACAAACCCTCATTCCAGCCCGCAATAAAGCCCCTTAAGTACTCTAGAAAAAAGATCCCCAAAAAAACCCTACAACCCACCAAAAACCCTTTAAAGTCAATCCCGGAACTATTACCAATAGCCCACAAAACACTTACAAAAAACAACATTTGGATAACCTCATTAAACCACTAAAATAGCCACTAAAACACCTTTAAGCCAACTTTAATATAGTCAAAAAAATATCTTCAAAATACCCATCAAAACAGCCCCAAAACCTCCCTCAAAATAGCCTCTTGACACTTTTGGAGTTACTAAAAAAAGGAGAAAATAAAAGGAAAAAAAGAAATTAAAATTAAAAGGAAAGACTAAATTTTTTTTTCTTGTGTTAAATTGTGTTGGTAGGAATAACATGATATTACGGATCGTATTTGTTTGATTTATGATAGGAAATACATTGTAAAAAGTTACTTTGAGTTTTTAGAAAAACTCTACAAAGTTTCAAGAACTTTGTAAATTTTACAACAACTTTTGGAGTATTTACACGAGCAACGGAGAAGCTTTTAGTCATTTTAGTAGGACTCACAATGTATTATGCTAACAAAAAATCACCCTCCTTTTCGGCTAACCGAATAAACAATTTTCATCGGGATTGAAGAGAGAAACGAACCTTATTTCACATCGAATTACAGAGCATTTGGGTAAATTTCAAAGCCATTGCATTCTTTTCTGGAAAAATGATGGCAAAAAATGATTGGATTATGTGATTGTGTGAATCAAACTATTAAATTTGTTTAAATATCCATATTTTAAATGTGGTTGAAACAAATATTATTGTAATGGATATTAAAGGATAATATGCCATGTTTTCCCATAATTATGCATGTCCGCCCAAATGTGAAGTTTGTGTTAGTTTTTATGATTCAATTGACTTTTCATGATTGGTAGTAATGATATAATAAAGCTGCTAGTGGCTTCTCACTTATATGACGAAGCCATCGGTGGTTTCAAAATGATTTAGTCTATTTCCCGATTTTTGTTCCTTGTTTCTTGATTTCTATTTTCTATTATTTATTTCTTGTTTCTTCAAAATGAAGATGTCAATGGCTTTTCACTTATCTAACGAAGTCGCTACTGGCTTCTAAATAGTTATTTCCTCCTTGCTTGAGCTAAATAAAGTGATTGATAGCTTCCAACTTGTGCGAAGAGTTTATCCTTAGCTTCAAACTCATGACTCATGTCGCTACTCGACGTCGGACGGGACTCCTAAAAAATATCTAAAATTAGGTTGAATATCTACAAGTTTTATTTACAAAGTTTGGCGTTGCCACCTAGTATTGAAAGAACTAAGAACCTAAAATGGACACCGGTTCGGAGATTCTATGGTAAGAAGTTAGTTACGCTTTTGGGAAAATATCGATCACCAAAAAGCGCCTTTTCCGAAAAAAGGTACCACGTCCAGTTTAACTCTAAATTTATCCCCTAAAATATTTTATTTATGTAAAATTATTTTCTGATTCTTAATCGCTAAATTTTTAAACAAATTGAATTTTTTAGTTTTAAGCGTGGCATCGTATTGAAACGATCGTCGGTCCCCTTCGTCGGGCGACATATCGATTCAAACATAGGATCCACCTTAAGCCTTAACACAATTGGTGTGTCGAAGGATATCTTGATTTAAACAATGATTTTTTGGTGACATCAGCCCCAATCGGATAGGAGACTTCTTTGAGAATTTTAGATTTTTGGTGACGACGATCCCTATTAGATGAGAGACTTCGTCGAAAGAAGAAAAAAAAAAAAAAATATATATATATATATATATATATTATTTTTATTTAAAGAAAACTTTAAAATTTTAATTAACTAAAATCATCTAAAAAAAATTTCAAAAAAATTAAACATATCGAAATCATCGTCCGTCCCTAATAAATAGGTGACTTGTTGATACAATATTTTTTTTTAAAAAAAAATCTCATGTTAAAATAAATTTCATAACTATGTATCTTCAAAATTTCTAACATACATATGTAAAATAAAAAAAAATACAAAAAAATAAAATAAATCAAACGAGTCCAAAATTCACCTATATTGTAAAATTACCAAAATGCCCCCGGAATGCCAAGAGTATCGCCAAGTGACTATTCGCTTTTTGGTGACCGTTCGGGCACGTAGACCACCCAGCCTTGTAGATTAGATCGTTGCGAGTCCAATGGTGGTGTTGTCAATCGGAGAAGACATCGGAGGAGGGAGATCGGAGCCTCCAAAGGTTCGGTCGGATCTCTCTTCTTCACCGGCGATGAATTCGACCTCCTCTCGGGATTCCAAGCACACCGGTCGACTCACAAGGTCAAGAGAAAAAGTTCTATGGTGGTTATAACCTCCAATTTTGCCTAGATCGATCAATTTTTCTAGGTTTTCCAAAACGAGTCAAAAACGGGTTGAGCTCAATTAAACTATTTTCCGGTGTCATTGAGTTAAGATTTTTATTTGAAAACACCGAGGGGAGACCGGCGATCAATTCCGTGGTGGTCGATTTCGTGTTGGTGGTCGGATTTGAGAGAAACGAATGGGTATTTTTCCGGTCGGGTTGTGGTGGTTTGATCTTCGATTTCTCTCTCCTCCATGATTCTTTCTCTCTCTAACCGGTGTTGATGGACTGATCTAGTGATGGGCTACATGTGGGTATGTTGATCGGGGTCAAAATCTGATCGAGAAACGATCAATCGAGGCTCAAAAGTTTCGACCGGGTAAACGGATAATCGGGTATGATCATTGGGTTAGGGCGTGTTTGGCTTCTTCTTTTTAGGTTTTTAGTAGTTTTTTTTTTTTGCTGCATGTTTTTCTTTCTTTTTTTCTTTCCCCGCAAATTAGAATTCCAAAGCTTTTTATAGGCCGAAAACATCTTAAAATTTCTCTCAAAATCAATTCAAAAATCAAATTTTAATTGGAAAATCTTAATTTTGAGATTTTTCTAGCTAAAAATAAGGAAATTCTAATTTAAAAAGATTTGTGAAAGATTTTAACAGATTTTTGAATGATTTTAAGGGGGTTTAATATTTTTTCCCCTTTTTCTTTTTTTGCTTTTTTTTGTTTCTTTTTTTTGTTTTGTTTTTTGTTTTGTTTTTTTTTTCTTTAAAGAAAATCCAAAATTGGGTTATGACAATTGCCTCCTCTTTACAATGCTTACGATGCAAATCTTAGCTGAAGTGTGAACTTCGAATAGATTTGTTTAGTGAGCTTGTAAAGAAATTCTTCTTCTTTTTTTTCGGAAAAATAAATGTGCAGTTCATGAAAAATTAAGTACAAAGTACATGAAAAATAAAAGGTGCGATACATAGCCTTGTTGTAAAGGGCGACCTACCCTAGAAATTTAAACGTGCAAATGCATGACCTTGTTGTAAAGGGCGACCTACCCTAGAAATTAAATGTGCAATGCATGGCCTTATTGTAAAGGGTAGCCTCCCCTTGAATTGAATATGCAATGCGTGCCTTATTGTAAAGGATAGCCTACCACGAAAAAAGTAAACATGCGAGTGCGTGGCCTTGTTGTAAAGGGCGATCTACCCTAAAAATTAAACGTGCGGTGCGTGGCTATATTGTAAAGGGCAGCCTACTCTAGAAATTAAATATGCGATGCATGGCCTTATTGTATAGGGTAGCGTACCACGAAAATTAAACGTGCGGATGCGTGGCCTTATTGTAAAGGGCGGCCTATCTTGAAAATCAAACGTGCGGATGCGTGGCCTTATTGTAAAGGGCAACCTACCCTAGAAATTAAATATGTAATGCATGGCCTTATTGTAAAGGGCGACCTACCCTAAAAATTAAACGTGCAATGGTCTATTGTGAGGTGACCCTACTCGAAAGAATGATCTATTATTAGGCGATCCTGCTCGAAAGAATGGTCTATTATGAGGTGACCATACCGAGCGGATGATCTATTATTAGCAATCCCGCCTGAAAGAATGGTCTATTGCCGGGTGACCTTACCTAAGTGAATGATCTATTATTAAGCGATCCTGTCCGAAAGAATGGTCTATTGTGAGGCGACCCTACCTAAGTGAATGATCTATTATTAGGCGATCCTGCTCGAAAGAAATGTGTGGGGAAATATGACCCCCTTTTTTGAATTTTGAGTTTGATTGAATGTTTTTTTTTTAAGTTGAAATTGACAACAATCTTACATGAGAGGAATATAGGCCGTCCCGCCTTGTCGTTACTCAATCCCCACTTTGCCTCATTTTGGAACTCGTGCCGGATCGTGTCTCACGGTATTGTCAAAATTTCCTTGCCCCTAAGGCTTGGACCACTATCCATAATGAACTTGAGTCTTTTCTCTCTCTGTTATTTATTTATTTATTTATTATTTTAGTCTTTCTTTGGAAAGTGATAAACCACCACATGTTTTAATCCATCCTTGTAAAATCATGCTCGATTGCTTTGACCACTTGCTAAATTTTGATCGAGTCATTGTCACGCCTTAAGGTCGCTCTTTGCCCTCGGCTTGATTGATTTGATTGCTTTGATTTGAGCACAAAAGCGTACTATTTCGACCTCTATTCCTCCGAGTTAACATAGCATAGTGATGCCATTGTCCGAAAAGTTGTTGAACTCAATTAGAGTTTTCTAAACTCTTGATCTTGCCCTCAAGTATTCTCTAGTCCCCAATCGAGTCGTCATTTTGTCACTACCCGACGTCGAACGGGACTCATAAAAAATAT